TTGCCACTTGTCTACCACCTCACCCACTTGTTGAACTTGGCTTGCGACTTCTAAAATTTAGTCATAATCTCCATTAACGTTAAATACTACTAAATAATAGGAGATAATTGCAGAAAACACCAAATCTAGTTGAACATATGGTAGCTATCAATAAAGTTTGTCATGCTCCAAATTATAACAATACGAAGTCTAACTAGCTTAATCATAACCACTCATTCAAATAATATGACATATGGCATCATTAAATATATTTGTAATTTATGATAAAATCAATAAGTTTCTCTGTATTTATGCAATTTCAGATTCGAAGGTTTTAACAAAGGAAGAAGAAGGAAGAATGCCACGGTTAACTTGAAACGCAAGTAACAAGGAATTCAGCGATGATTCAGAGGAAACGCCTCTTTACAAATCCGATTGGCACTGCTACAATCTCAAGGCTTTCATTAGATCCTCATTCGTTGCTGCTCTTTCAGAACTTTTCTCGAGCAACTTCACTACAATCTTGAATCCATTGGGAAACTGCCCTCTATAAACAATCCCAAATGCTCCCAAATGCTCCAGACCCCAACTTGGTCGAGTAATTGCTGGTAAAGGCACAGAGCGGCTGCACATGCATCATCCTCCCAAACTTGAACCGCATGTTGCCGCTGACTTGTCCGAGTAAGGACACAAACAATTGCAACGGATATACGATGACCAGGTGATTCCTAAAATCAAGGACATTTCCTTCGATTAAGCAACATGCATGTGTAATACAGACTGTTCCTTACACGTCTAGATAAAGGAATGCCCTTCCACAAGTAGACTAATAGGAAAGGAATGATTAAATTGAAGAAAAGATTTTATCTTTGATTCCTGGTATGATCGAATTATACTGAACAAAACCTAGGCAGTCGTAACAAGAGATCTTTAAGGTTGTAGCTTTATCTTCGGTATAATTGTATTAAAAAATTAAATGAAATTTGGAATTTTGTGAGCTAGACGACAGATGAGAAACTTCATAATACACTACATCAAAACAACAAATCAACCCTTATAATCTAGATATAATAATACTGCTCCACAAAAATAAATAAATAAAACAAAACATACGCTTTTTGAAAATTATATTCTACTAGTATTCTTAACCACTAGCTATTTGGATTTCATCCTTGGACATGATGGGTGTACTCTCTTTATACCGATAAGAATTGGATTCTTCACTTGAGGAGAAACTGGAACCAGCAGTTGGCTTGACTGCATTCTTCCTTACTGAGAATAGATAATGAAAAGGTTTAGTAGGCGGCTTGATCTCCACTCCTCCTTCCAGCATCTTCACCACCACACTAATTGGTGGCCTAGCCTCTGGTGAGTCTTGAACACACCACATTGCAACCATGGACATTCTCTCTCTTTTTCCCTATCCTTCTCTTCAATCCCACAATCTATTGTCATTTCAGTCAATTCCCACTTCTCATACTTTTCCCACACATGCTTTGGAATCCAATTAAGGCTTTAAGAGGAACTAATAATCATGTTTTTCCTCCTCTCAACTATCTCAAACAAAACCATTTCAAAACTATACACATCACATTTGTATGTTATGGGATGATTCCAAAGAAAGAACTCCAGGGCAGAGTAACTAGGGGTTCTCTTGTATCCAGTGATTGAAACGTGAGTACTATCTCCGTTGCAGAGTTTTGCAAGCCCAAATTCAGCAACTTTAGGGAAGAAGTTTTCATCAAGCAGCACATTTCCAGGCTTTATATCATAGTGAATGATTCTTTGTTGACATTCTTCGTGCAAGTAAGCAATCCCTTTGGCTGTCCCTACTGCTATTTCATGTAATTTTTCCCACCTAATCATCTCCTTCTACCCAAACAAGTATTTATCAAGCGATCCATTTTCCATGAATTTGTATACAACTGCACTCATATGTTGATAATAGCAAAAACCATAAAGTCTAACCAAATTAATATGGTATGTTTTTCCAATTGTGCCTACCTCTGCCATGAACTGCTACCCTGCTACCCTCTCAGAACCTTTCTCGAGCACCTTCACTGCAATCTTCACTCCGTTGGGAAACTGCCTCTGTAAACAATCCCAAATCCTCCAGACTCCAACCTGGTTGAGTAATTGCTTGTAAAGGCACAGAGCTGCTGAGCAGTGAATCTCACCGGCTTATCCTTGGCCAACTCTTCGAACGGCTATATTTATCCTGGTAATAAATATAGTTGAT